AACAAACAAGTAACTGTTAACAGGTAACCATGACAAGGTAAACACCAACAAAAGTAACTGCCAATGAAAACATGAACCGCATGCAGGGTGGGTGGGTGGGATGGATCAGCTGTTGCAGGCCCAATGCCTGCTGGGGAGCCTGGGGCAGCCTTATGAAGGCTGCCCACAAAGGTGGGAGAGGCCATCTCAGGCCTCTCCCGCGGTGGGCGTGGTCAGTTGGCCATTGGCCCATTGACCCGCCAGCGGGAACCTTCCCGCCAATAGAGGGGGCTTCTGGGAAGAAGAAGCCCCCCTAAGGCAAGAATGGCGGTGGGGGACACCCTGCACCGCAACTTCTTGGCCCGGTAAGTCGGCCATGCCTTTTATTGGTTTAGAACAGGGGTCCTCAAACTAAGGTCCGGGGGCCGAATGCAGCCCTCCAAGGTCATTTACCCGGCCCTCACTTAGAGTCAACCTAAGTCTGTAACGACTTGAAAGTACACAACAACAACAACAACAATCCTATCTCACCACCCAAAAACAGGCCCACACTTCCCATTGAAATACTAATAAATTTATATTTGTTAAAATTGTTCTTCATTTTAATTATTGTATTTTTAAAGTGGTTTTTGCACTACAAATAAGAAATGTGCAGTGTGCATAGGAATCCATGTTTTTTTCAAATTATAATCCGTCCCTTCAACTGTTTGAGGGACTGTGACCTGGCCCTCTGTTTAAAAAGTTTGTGGACCCCTGGTTTAGAAAGTATCTCTTTGGATTTGGAGTCCGCCCTTTTTCCTGGGGATGAGATCTCCATTTTGGAATCTTCCCTGCCTCCCTTAGTAGAGAAAAGAACCTCAGATGTGCTGTTGGTCAGGCAGGGAGCTCTGAAAAACCCATTGTGAGTACAATTGAGTATAATTGAGATAGAATGGGAACTGAGCTATTGAGTTATAGATAGATAGATAGATGATTCTGTCCATCTATCTATCTATCTATCTATCTATCTATCTATCTATCTATCTATCTATCTATCTATCTATCTATCTATCTATCTTTCAACATAGGGGTTGGACTGGGTGACCCTTGGGGTCTCTTCCTACCCCATGAATCAATCAATCAATCTACCTACCTACCTACCTACCTACCTACCTACCTACCTACCTACCTAAGGGGTTGGACTGGATGGCCTTTGCGATCTCTTCCAACCCCATGAATCCACCAATCATCTATCTGTCAGTCTGTCTGTCAGTCAGTCTTCTTAGGAGTTGGACTAGATGGCTGGTGGTCTGCCTATCTATCTATCTATCTATCTATCTATCTATCTATCTATCTATCTATCATCTATCTATCTTCTTGAGGGTTGAAATGGATGGTCCTTGGGGATCTCTTCTAGCCCCATGATTCTGTCTATTATCTATCTATCCATCTATTTATCCATCCATCCATCTACCATCTTAGGAGTTGGACTGGATGACCCTTGAGGTCTGTTCCTACCCCATGAATCAATCTATTTACCTACCTACCTACCTACCTACCTACCTACCTACCTACCTACCTAAGGGGTTCGACTGGATGGCCTTTGGGATCTCTTCCAACTCCATGAACCTACCTACCTACCTACCTACCTACCTACCTACCTACCTACCTACCTACAGGGATGGACTGGATGACCCTTGGGGTCTCTTCCTACCCCATGAATCAATCTACCTACCTACCTACCTACCTACCTACCTAAGGGGTTGGACTGGATGGCCTTTGTGATCTCTTCCAACTCCATGAACCAACCTACCTACCTACCTACCTACCTACCTACCTACCTACAGGGGTGGACTGGATGGCCCTTGGGGTCTCTTCCAACCCCATGAATGTATGACACCTGTCCCCTTCTCCCCTGCCCTGCCCACGCAGCCCTGCTTTTCCTGCCTCGGTTTCCCCATGGCAGCCCTGCTGTGCCTGACTTGCTAAGTGCTGGGGAGATGTGCCAAGGCTTGGAATCGGCTCAGCCTCATTAGAAGCGGAGACGAGGCACCTGCGTTTCCACAGCAACCGCTGGCAGCAAGACAGGACCCCAAAGGATGCTTCCTGTCAGGAGGAGACAATGATGATGATGATGATGATGATGTGGGTTCATCGGGTGGGCAACAGAGGGAGAGGCAGGCGCTTGTGAAACGGAGGATCCAAATGGGCCGGGCACCGTGCCACCCGCCTCTTCCTCCAGCCATCTGCTCCTTCTTTCCTTCCTTCCTTCCTTCACTCTCCCTCTCCTGGGTTGCCAACGAGCTGCCACTCAGCCCCGGAGCAGATTGGCAGGAGAGCCAAGAAGGCCAGGCCTTTGCCAAGTGACCGGATGACCACTGGCAAGCGGATGGGCTGGAGAGGGAGCTGGGTCCCGTGCTCTCCTCATTCCATCCTTTGCAGAAGCAACAAGTCATTTTGGCACTTTGCTGCCTGTCTTCGAGAATTGCACTGTTTGGGACTCATTGTGCACAGAAGTCATCCTTGGTGCACCTGTTGTCTGGAAGTGTTTGGAAATAGCACAACATTCACATGTGGTGTTTTTGCACAGGAAACAGCATTTTCTGTGCAGGGCAAAGCAGTTTCTGTGCTCACTTTCTGCTCAGAGATATTTCTTACAGTATAGAAGGTGATTTATTGTTTCAGAGAATGCTATAGTTATAACACAATGTTTGCACCAAACCCAGCAGGAAATGACTATTTTTCTGTGCAGAAAACACTGCGCAAAATTCCTTCCTGTGGGGATTTCTGGGCCATCAAGAAAACTAGCTTCATTTCCTGAGATTCTTTCTAGCTTTATCTCAAATGGGTTTGAGTGACACAAGAACAGAAGGGATAAAGCTCTTTGCAGTACTTACTTACTACTTACTTAGGCAAGTAGGGTGGGTGGGTGCAGAGGTGGCCCTAGGTAATTTTCAAAGGTAAGCAAACAGTATTTTGGCGCCCCCCCCCCAACCAATCCTTGATATATATTTTCTGTTCGTCGTGGGAGTTCTGTGTGCCATATTTGGTTCAATTCCATCATTGGTGGAGTTCAGAATGCTCTTTGATTGTAGGTGAACTATACATCCCAGTAACTACACTTGCCGCACTTGCTCTCTTGCCTGGCCCACTTTGGGTCCGGAGGCGTGCCTGAAGACCCCGGCATGTGCACCAAAAGTCACCTCTTCTCCTGACTTTCTCCTCAGCCATTGGGACCAAGAGAGAGAGAGAGAGAGAGAGAGGTGGAGATGCCCACCTTTCCTGAAGGTAGGCGCAAAAACAAAGGAGGGAGCGGAGGTGGGAGATACCTCCAGCCGGAGGGGCTCTCTCTCTCTCTCTCTCTCTTGGTCCCAATGGCTGAAGAGAAAGTCAGGAGAAGAGGCAACTTTTGGTGCGCACGCTGGGGTCTTCAGACACGCCTCCGGACCCGAAGCGGGCCAGGCGTGGCTCCGCCCCTTGGCCCACCCGCGGATTGGGGAGAGGAGAGGAGGCGGGTGGAGTGCCGGGGGATCGGGAAAGGGAGCCGGTCATGGGGAAGGGATCGAACGCGGAGAACGATTGAGCGCCGGCTCTGCTCGCGCACCCGGTGGCCGGGTGGAGCAGGAACGAGAGGGGCTAGGCGAGGCTCAAGGGCCCGGCCCCTTTGGGAAGAGGATCGCCCAGCAGCGAGGCAAGAAAGCCGAGGCTCCCCCCGGACTGCTAGGGCTGTTGTGAGCTGAGGGGGGGCTCCTCAAGTGGCGGTCGAGGGGCATTTACAGAGGCACCTCTGCCCCTGGCAAACAAAAGTGTTCTGCGACCGCTTACTTCGCATAATGGACGAGCCGCCCCTGGGTGGATTGATGGATGGATGGATGGATGGATAGGTAGATGGATGGATAGATGGATAGATACGACATGATATTTCTCTGTGTATTTTCTCTGTATGTGTCTGTGTATGTATATCTATAGCTATATCTCAATCTATCTATCTATCTCTGTGTGTTTTATAATCCCCCTCTATATAGAGCCAATGCAGTAATTGTCTTCAGAGTAATCAAACACATAGATAGATCATGTGTTTGATTACAATCATATATCTCTGTGTTTTATGTATGACATATCTTTTATGACCACCACTACCACCCCATATATATAGAGAGCTCATGCACTAATTGTACCCAGGGTCATCAAGCAGATAGATAGATAGATAGATAGATAGATAGATAGATAGATAGATAGATAGATTCGTTGAGTAGGAAGAGACCCCAAGGGTCATCCAATCCAGTTTATCTTCGTAGGTAGGTAGCATCATAGGGTTGGAAGAGATCCTAAGAGTGATCCAGTCCAACCCCTAAGATGATATAGATAGATAGATAGATAGATAGATAGATAGATAGATAGATAGATAGGTAGATAGATAGATGATAGACAGATAGATCGATAGATCAATAAATTGATTCATGGGGTAGGAAGAGACCCCCAAGGGTCATCCAATCCACCTCCTAAGATGATAGATAGATAGATAAATAGATAGATGATCGATAAATAAATAGATAGATAGATAGATTGATTGATTGATTGATTGATTCTTAAGGCTAGAAGAGACTACCGAAGCATATCCAGTCCAAACGCTTAAGAGAGAGAGAGAGAGAGAGAGAGAGATGAGACTCCCAAAGAATATTCAGTCCAACCCCTAAGAGATAGATAGATCAGTAGATAGAAAGATAGATAGATAGATAGATAGATAGATAGATAGATAGATAGAAGAGACTCCCAAAGAATATCCAGTTCAACCCCTAAAAGATAGATAGATCAGTAGATAGATCTATGATAGATATATAATAGATAGATACATGATAGATAGATAGGTAGATCAGTAGATAGATGACAGATAGATAGATAGATAGATAGATAGATAGATAGATAGATAGATAGATAGATAAGACAGACAGGTAGTCTGCCCTCCCGTGGTCTTACTGGACCCGTCTGCTGAGCTGCAGAGCCATCTTGCTGACCTTCTGCTCCCTCTTCTCTCTCTGCAGCCGAACCATCAACTGGTCCACTTTCCTGAGGGAGAGCACCATCTACATCTTAGCCGCCCGGCCCAACAGCCCCGCCATCCACCTGAAGCCATCTGCATAAGAGGGCCCTTTGCCCAGTGATGGGCTGGAAGACCAAGAGAGCTGCCCCTTGGCAAGGGACTGAGGAGCAGCCGCTGGCCCTGCCTTGCCCTCTTGGCCTCCCCGGGACTCACTTCATTGCCAGAGATGAGCCGCAAGGGATCCCTTCCGCCCTTCATGCCAAAACACTGCCGAGACCGACTGGCTGCCAGAGAGCAGTGGTGGGCTGCTTGGACCCATGGCCATGAGCATTGCCTCATCTCTTCTCCTACTGGACTTCAAGAAGCCAAACCACGGCTGGGTGGTCAAGACACAGTCATTCTCAGTGGTCCAGCTGGCCAAAGGACCTCTTCTCTTCCCCATTTGGTCACTGACTGGTTGAGGGCAAACAGGACCCAAATATCCCAGCTCTTCTCCATCTCCTGCTTTGCTGATGAAGATGCAGAGTGTTCTTCTGCAGAGCTTATGCGCCACAGCCGATCCCTTGCTTCTGGCCCCATCTCAGACCCATTCTGGTTCCCAACCGGCCTCTTTTCATGTCCATTGGGTTAATTGGTGGGGGAGTTCATCACACTTTGGTGGTATCTAGTCAGCATCCTCATCCGTGATGGCCCGTTCAGGTATTGCAAGGTTATGGACTTGTGTGTATGTGTTTTTGATGACCGGTTTCTGAGACTCCCTGGGCGCATGGAGAGGTCCCTTTGTGCCTCGCTGCCATCCCTCCAAAGAGGGGCACCTGGGTTCCTTGCTGCAACCAACGTTGTTTCCTCCCCTCCCAAAAAAGAAGCCATGTTTGCAACTCCTGGAGCAAATGCAGCCTGCCTCACTGTACAGCCAGACTCCCAAGAGTTGCATTTCATTCCCTCTTCCTTATCCCTTTCTTGATTTGGGAGGCAAAGTTACAAGTAAGAAAACGTGTGGTCCATTTGCCAAAATGGGGATATCTCAGGTGCTGGGGCTTGGGGGCAAAAATCTGAAATTTCAGGAGAACTCTTAGTGATGTCAGGAGGGGGGTGATACAAACACCTGGGGATGCAATTCGACTTGGTGCATTAACTATTCCCTTAAACCGACCTTATAGAATATTACGAAAGGAAAATTCAGAAAGAGGTAATGTTCCTGGCCCTGGATGCTGAAAAAGCATTCGATAACGTTAATTGGGATTTTTTTAAAAAAAATTACTTATGAAGAGAATGGATATTGGATATTATTTTCAAAATATAATTGAAACCATATACAAAAATCAAGAAGCAAAGATAATAATAAACGGACTGGAAACCAAAACCATACAAATTCAAAAAGGGACAAGACAGGGCTGCCCATTATCACCCTTGATCTTCATATTGACATTGGAAGTGTTACTAAACAAAATAAGAGAGGACAAAGAACTGAAAGGGGCAAAAATAAATGGGCAATCTTATAAAATTAGGGCTTTTGCCAATGATATAATGTGCATAATTGAAGAACCAAACAAAAATATAGAATAATGACTGGAGACAACCAAAGAATTTGGAGATTTGGTTGGATTTAAAATGAATATGGAAATATATATATATATATATATACCACAAAAGAAATTGGAAAGATTAAAAGAGAATTGGAATATGCGGATAGTCTACAAGATAAAATATCTCGGCATCACAATGACACCTAAGAATGCTCAACTACTACAGAACAATTATGGAAAAGTATGGAGTAAGATTAAAGAGATTTGGAAAAATGGAAAAAAAATTAAATTTATCCCTCTTAGGTAGACTCTTGAGTGTAAAAATGAACGTTCTACCAAAAATGATCTTTCTCTTCCAAAATTTACCACTAATGAGAAATCAAAAGAACTTGAAGGAGTGGAATAAAGACATAAGGCAACACTCTTTCAGATCTCTCCCTCTCACCCTAAGGACTCCAGAGGCCAAACCTTGATGCTCCGGTTTAATTGGGATTGCAGTAGAGTCTCAGTTGCGTTCAATGGAGAAGAACGATGCATGCCCAACAAGACCACTGTAGGATCAGTGCAGTTGGACACCACTTGAGTTGCCATGGCTCAATGCTATGTGATCATGGGAGTTGTAGCTTTACAAGGTCTTTAGCCTTCTCTGCCAAAGAAGGCTTGCAATGAGATTTGGCCTGCATCAAGAGGAGCCTAGTGTCTAGATCTAGGGACGTCATACTCCCCATGCTCTCTTCTGCCTTGGTTAGACCACACCTGGAATATTGTGTCCAATTCTGGGCACCACAATTCAAGAGAGATATTGACAAGCTGGAATGTGTCCAGAGGAGGGCGACTCAAAGGATCAAGGGTCTGGAGAACAAGTCCTATGAGGAGCGGCTTAGGGAACTCGGCATGTTTAGCCTGAAGAAGAGAAGGCTGAGAGGAGATATGATGAGAGCCATGTATAAATATATGAGAGGAAGTCACAGGGAGGAGGGAGCAAGCTTGTTTTCTGCTTCCCTGGAGACTAGGACGCAATGGAACAATGGCTTCAAACTACAAGTGAGGAGATTCCATCTGAAAATGAGGATAGAATCATAGAATCAAAGAGTTAGAAGAGACCTCATGGGCCATCCAGCCCAACCCCATTCTGCCAAGAAGCAGGAATATTTATTTATTTATTTGATACACTTGTATACCGCTAATATCTCAGCCTAGAACGGCGACTCATTGCGGTTTACAACAGTTAAAACAATCTACAATTTAAAAACATATACACATATAATAACAAATTCAATAACAAATTATTGGGCCACCAATAATAATCCCCTATATCTCGAGTTGAAATCGCAATCCAGAATTCGTTGTCCATGTTTCCTGTCCTTAGTCATCAATATTCGATTGCCACAGATTAGCCGAATGCTTGTTTGAACAGCCAAGTTTTGAGTCTCTTCCTAAACACCATCAGCGAAGAGGCTGATCGTACCTCTATAGGGAGGGTGTTCCAAAGCCGGGGGGCCACCACAGAGAAGGCCCTATCTCTCGTTCCCGCCAGCCGCACTTCTGAAGCTGGAGGGATAGAGAGAAGGGACTCTCCAGAAGATCTTAGGGTCCTGGTGGGCTGATAGGCTGAGATACGTTCGGATAGATAAGTTGGGCCAGAACCGTTTAGGGCTTTAAAGGCCAATGCCAGCACTTTGAATTGAGCCCGGTAGCATATCGGCAGCCAGTGGAGCTGGTTCAGCAAGGGAGTTGTATGCTCCCTGCACCCCGCTCCTGTTAGAATCATGGCTGCCGCCCGTTGGACTAACTGGAGCTTCCGGACTGTCTTCAAAGGCAACCCCACGTAGAGAGCGTTGCAGTAATCAAGGCGGGATGTAACCAGAGCGTGGACTACCGTGGCCAAGTCAGACTTCCCAAGGTACGGTCGCAGTTGGCGCACAAGTTTTAACTGTGCGAAGGCTCCCCTGGTCACCACCGAAACCTGGGGTTCCAGGCTCAGCGATGAATCCAGGATCACCCCCAAACTGCGAACCTGTGTCTTCAGGGGGAGTGCGACCCCGTCTAACACAGGCTGTAAACCTATACCCTGTTCGGCCTTACGACTAACCAGGAGTACCTCTGTCTTGTCTGGATTCAATTTCAATTTGTTCGCCCCCATCCAGACCGTCACAGCGGCCAAGCACCGGTTCAGGACCTCGACAGCCTCCTTAGTAGCAGGTGAAAAGGAGTGACAGAGTTGGACATCATCTGCGTACCAATGACATCGCACTCCGAAACTCCGGATGATCTCGCCCAGCGGCTTCATGTAGATGTTAAACAACATGGGAGACAGTATTGAACCCTGAGGAACCCCACAAGACAAAGGTTGTGGGGTTGAACAGGAGTCTCCCAGTAACACCTTCTGAGACCGACCCTCAAGGAATGAGCGGAGCCACTGCAAAACAGTACCTCCAAGACCCATCCCCGAGGCGTCCCAGAAGGATACCGTGGTCGACGGTATCGAAGGCCGCTAAGAGGTCGAGCAGCACCAACAGGGACACACTCCCCCTGTCGAGCTCCCGACGCAGATCATCCACTAAGGCGACCAAGGCTGTCTCGGTACCATGCCCCGGCCTAAAGCCAGACTGTGCCGGGATCTAGATAATCCGTGTCTACCAAGAATGCCTGGAGTTGTGAGGCCACCACACGTTCCATGACTTTGCCCAAGAAGGGGAGATTGGAAACAGGCCGATAGTTGACGAATTGAGTGGGGTCCAATGATGGCTTCTTCAACAGCGGTTTTATTACAGCTTGCTTTAAGCTGGCTGGAATTTTGCCTTCCCGAAGGGAGGCATTCACCACCACCTTCACCCACTCGGCCAAACCCCCTCTGGCCTCCTTTAGAAGCCAGGATGGGCAGGGGTCTAGGATGCATGTGGTAGCTCTCATTCCTCCAAGCACCTTGTCCACATCCTCGGATTGAACCAATTGAAATGAATCCATCAAAACCGGACAAGCAGGTGCTCGGTTACATCCTCAGATACTGCCGTTAATATGGTATCCAGTCCAGAGCGGATCAAAGCGACTTTGTCTGCGAAGAACCGAGCAAAAGCTTCGCAGCGAGCCGCCGAGTCATCAGGGCACCCGTCCTGAGTGGTGGGTTTTAATAAGCCTCTGACAACTCGGAACAGTTCAGCCGGACGGTTCTTCGCAGACGCAATAGTGGCCGCGAAGAAAATTTTCTTTGCGGCCTTTATTGCCGCGGTATATGCCCTTAAAAAGGACACAAAACCGTGTTCGGTTTGGCTCGCTCGGATCCGAACGCCACACGCTCTCTAGTTCCCTCTTCTTTCGCTTCAACGCTGCCAGCTCCTCAGTAAACCAAGGAGCTGGTTTGGCTCGGCTACTTGAGAGGGGACGTTCTGGAGCGATCGTGTCTATTGCCCTGGTCATCTCCCCATTCCAGAGAGCGACCAGGGCATCAACAGGATCACCAACCGCGGTGGCGGGAAAATCCCCAAGAGCCATCAGGAAACCATCCGGATCCATAAGCCTCCTAGGGCGGACCAATTTAATGGGTCCTCCACCTCTGCGGAGGTTAGGGGGTGCAGCAAGTCTAAAACTGACCAGGTGGTGGTCGGTCCATGGCAACGGAGAGATGGATAACTCCTCAACAGCGCCACCTTCCTCCCATCCCTGGCAGAAAACCAAGTCCAATGTATGTCCAGCACTGTGGGTGGGGCCAGATACTTGTTGGGACAGCCCCATGGTTGCCATGGTAGACATGAAGTCCTGAGCCGCTCCCGATGAGGCGGACTCGGCGTGGATATTGAAGTCCCCCAGCACAAGCAGCCGTTGGGACTCCAACACCAGGTCCGAGACCACCCCCGCTAGCTCAGTCAGGGAGTCTGTAGTGCAGCGAGGTGGACGGTACACTAACAGAATCCCTAATCTGTCCCGGTCTCCCACCCTCAGGTGGACGCATTCAAATTTTGTTGACTGCGGGATGGGGGCCCTGGTCAGAAGAATGGTATCTCTATAGACCATTGCATTCAAAGCACCCCTGACATGGCCATCCAGCCTCTGCTTAAAAGCTTCCAAAGAAGGAGCCTCCACCACACTCCGGGGCAGAGAGTTCCACTGCTGAACAGCTCTCACAGTCAGGAAACTCTTCCTAATGTTCAGATGGAATCTCCTCTCTTGTAGTTTGAAGCCATAGGAAGAACTTCCTGACTGTGAGAGCCGTTCAGCAGTGGAACTCTCTGCCCCGGAGTGTGGTGGAGGCTCCTTCTTTGGAAGCTTTGAAACAGGGGCTGGATGGCCATCTGTCAGGGGTGATTTGAATGCAATATCCCTGCTTCTTGGCCCACGAGGTCTCTTCCAACTCTAGGATTCTATGATTCTATGGTGCCTCAGCAAACTATAACTCTCATGGCTCCATAGCATTGAGCCATGGCAGCTCAAGTGATGTCAAAATGTGTTAACTCAACAGTGTAGATCCACTCCCGTTCAGATGGGAAAAAACAGCCTGGGTCGGGAGAAGCTGTTGGTTGCCTTGCCCACAAACGATAACTCTCACGATTCCTTGGCATCAAGCTATGGCAGCTCACGTGGCGTCAAACTGTGTTAATTCAACAGTGTAGATGCACCCCAGTTCAGATGGGAAAAAAACAGCCTGGGTCAGGACAAGCTGTCGGTTGCCTTGTCCAGCTCAGTTTTCATAGAAGTTAAGGACCCAACTGTAGGATTGGACTT